TGTTGCTGTTCTAGAAGTAATTCACCATAAAGTTCTTGACTAGGTTTAACAGGGTCAATTGGAGGACCATAAGCTGGTGGATTTACAGATAATTCAAGTTCAGTTGCCATCTTAGCATAATTCAATGCAATATTTTTTTCATCATATGTTATAGCGATTCTATAATATTCATGAAATGCTTGTAATTGAAATTTCATAGCTAATATCGATGTAGAAAGTGTAGGAAATGTTTTATTTAATTTTATTGACATATCTGTTAATTGCTGAATATATTCTTGAACTACAGTTAATTTATATTCTTTATCATTCTTAACTGTAGAAAATCCTTTTACGAGTAACAATCCAGAATTAATTTGATTCAGCCAAAGTATATCGCCCATTGATATACATTCCGAACATACAATTAAATCAAAGGAATTATTAAATGCAAAAGTATAGTCTTGTGTTTCTATAATATGTCGATCATACATAATACCATATTGCATTTGATAATAAGTACCATTACTAAATAATATTTTTATACTTTCTAAAATTTCTAAAGCAATTGATCTTCTTCCCATATTTAAATATGTATAATGCATAAATGCAAGACTATGATACTCTCGTGCAGAATTCGCTCCAAGATTCGCTCCAACTTCATCTGATTCTAAATTTCCAATTAATGTTTCTTTGTATAATCCCAATCGAAGATAAATATGTGTTGGCATATGTTGAGCATGTGGCGAACTTGGTGCTATACGAGAATATTATATTGCATTTGATAGAACAAATAAAGCACTTTGTGGTTCATCATAAACATGAATAGAATAATGTAATGCACCTGGATGATTTGGATTATTTTTTAAGATTGTTTTTAAAATATCTATTTGTAATTGACGATCATTTGGATTACGTTTTAAATATCCACGAATTTCTGGTTGAGTTTTTGAAAATAAAATACAAACTAAAAATAAACCTGCTTCATTATCTGTTGGAAATCGTTGATAAATTTGTTTTAAAACATTAATATAATCATCATAATGTATATTTCCTTGATCATAGAATTTTCTTACAGCTATAACATAAAGTTGTTCTCTTTGTGTTAAGTTTTCGAAATGAATTTTTGAATTCATTAGTTTTATTTGTTTCCAACCTTCTTCAGGATTTTCGCTTAACCATACTGGTTCTGAATTAGTTAAAGATGAAAATACATAAGCCATAGCAAATTCTGAATCAATACTATAAGCTTGTTGAAATTGTTCAAATGCTAATGAATACAAAAAATTATGCAAATAACCAAGACCCAAAATAAAATGTTCTTGTGCTAAACTATTATTTGTACTTGTTGGAAATTGAATATATTGTTGGCCAAGAGATGGTTGAAATTCATAGCATGAACTTTCTTTTATTGATAATACTAACAGTAGAGGAAGTAAAATCAAATTTTTAATCAATTTTTCATCCGATCGAATCTGTATTCTTCGTCTTGTGCACATTGATTTAATGTATTGTATGCAACAATTATTGATTCGGCTATGATTCGATCTGAAAGAGTCTTGTAAGAATGATTGACAATCTTTAAAATCTTCTTGAGAAACGATCGTTGCTTGACGTTTCGTTTGAAAAAAAAACGAGGAATCCGTCAATGTTGTATGAATATTATGAAAAGAGACATTCTACAATCGGTTTCGATCTTTCTCCAGAGTGACTGTATTGAGATGACAATTTAGGTGTGAATTAGTTACTACCTATATTCAAGAGAAAGATATCGGTAGCACTACCATCTTGCTTATTTATAAGAACACACCTAGGATTCAAAATAAATATCTACTGTGATATGTTCTGACTAGGTCGCACAGAAAACTAGTTGAAAAGATCAGTATGTAAATGGACAGAAATCAAAGCTACCTCTTCCGATAATCTACTAGCTATTCTCAGCGTTCTGAGTTATTTGGTCCTTACCCTAACTGCCAAGTAATTGCACATCTGTTCATTCTATATTAATGTGTGTATGAGGTGAGCGCAATTCAATCATTTCCCATCTCGTCAATTTTTAATAAAAAAAAACAACAGTTGACCACGGTTCTTTAAAAAACCGACGATTCGAACGGTTTTCTTCTTTTTTATCATTTTTCTATAAATTTCACTACTGAATTAATGTTTTCTATCTCAAAAATATCGATTGAAAGTCCAAAAAGACCATATTTCTATGCCACAGTAAAGTGTGTCAGATGGTGTCACTAAATTTCCTATTGGTTAAGTCATTGAATGAATGGCTATTTCGGTAGCACGCTCTTTAATACAAGAACAGACTCGAAAACGCGAATATAGCTGATGTGACTGGTACTGGCAGCTTCAGCGCTCTGATGAACAGAAGGAGCAGCGATTCCGACTAAAATCTAACAATTTTGTAAGAGTTAAAAAATATTGATGCGCTGTGATCCAAAAAAATAATAAGCAGGAGAACCGCGGTTAACCGCCGGTTTTCGAGCGGTTTGAACGACATAGCTTATTTATCTCTTTTGCCGCATGATAACGTCTTGTTTCAGAAATTAATGCTTGCTAATACGCGATTATTAACTTAGTATATTAGTCAGTTCCTAATCTCGCTCTCTAAGATAGAAAACACGTATTTCTACTACGTTCTCTTCCCTAAACTATAACATAATGATTCAAACTAGTTAAAAAATGTTGAAAACTAAAGCTATTCTCTTGCAAGATTAGTTGAATATTTGGTATATCCTCTTTTTATGTTGACCTATGTTTTTTCCTCTAATATATAGCTGTTAAGCAAATCTTTTGTTCTTTCTCACCTTCTAAAAATGCGATCGATGATTCGACAAATATCGCCGTTTTTGAAAGAGAATGTGATATGCGCGGCTTTCTGCGAAAAGCTGTTTGAAGGTTGATCTATCTTTTGTTTTGACGGAGCTCACACTATGTCCCCTACGATAAAGCAATAGAATTACATTGTATTATTTTGTCCTCGAGTTACATCATGTCAAGTGACTTCTACTTATCTTTTTCTAACTCATATAATATTTCGAGCGTGTTTGACAGTAAATAGTGATGCTGCAAAAAACTACAAACGATACATTTTAAGCATCTCTACTCACATAGTTCATCTTTGTTCACTATCCTTTGATTTTGATATGAAACTGAAGAAAGACAAAAGTCCAACCTCAGGTAAATGATATCTTATTCCATTCAATAGTGTCAAACTACATTCAAACAGTAATTACGAGCTGTGCGCGTTGGTTAAATACTAATAAAATACTGATTATTATCTACGCAAAACAGATAAAAATTGTTCGCGTTCTCTTTTACTAGTCCTTCACACGTAAACAGACGACGAAGAACAAAGTTCTTGTCAATATTGCACAATATTTCGTCGTACTTTCTTAGCAAGTTTCAATATTCGATTCTTATGAAGAACTCGGCTAGGTTCGATGATTTATCGGGTGTGGGTGTGAGAGTCGGGGTGGGTGTGGGTGTGGGTGTGGGTGTGGATGTGAGTGTGGGTGTGAGTGTGGGTGTGGGTGTGGGGTGTGGGTGTGCGTGGGTGTGGGGTGTGGATGTGGATGTGGATGTGGGGTGTGAGCGTAGGTGCAGATGGCAAGGATACCTACACTCACACCCATACCCACACCCACGTCGACACCCACACCCACATCCATACCCACACCCACTCACACCCACATCCACATCCACACCCACCCACCCACACCCGCACCCACTCACACCCACACCCACATCCACATCCACACCCACCCACACCCACACCCACTCACACCCACACCCAACCCACACCCACGCCCACCTACACCCACATCCAAATCCACACCCACACCCACACCGACCCACACCCATACCGACCCACACCCACACCCACCTCCATACCCACACTCACACCCACACCCGAGCGTGAATACGCATGAAAATCAATATGTTGAAGCTATTTTCTGGAAAAATCGAATAGCTTCGAAATGGTTAACTTATTTTATTTATCGATATATGTATATCCAAAAAAGTATCGTTAATCACGTACATACATATTTAACGCAACATAATAGAAAATAAGAAGAGAAGAGAAGAAAAGAGGTAATCATAGAATAAAGAGTGAAAATAGAAAGAAAAGCATCAAGGGACAGAAATGAGGATGATTCACCGTTAAAAATGGTCCACCCCTACCCCACACCAGACCTCACATCCCACTCCACCCCATATTCGAAAGAAGGATTCCATTTGCGAGAATGAGCTCTAGGTCACGGTAGCTGTTTCCTCCCCACCCCTCCCCCACACCCCAACATTTGCATTTTCTTCGACAGTCCACTGCAAATATTAGACTCTTCTTAACTAATTAATATGATTCGTTTTTGCTCTGATTTTCTTACGAATTTATTTCTAGTTTTATTAGACGAGAGAGTAATTATGAAAAGTGCGTCACATATGTACTAGACCAAGCTGCAATGCTTCTTCATAAGCCTGAATGCTACGCGTGAGTTTGTTTCCAAGATAGGTTTGTTTATGTGGTTCCCGCATGTATTGAACTAGTTGCGACGAAGGTATCGAAGCGCTCAGAAGTTGGTCTATTTTTAACGCACATTGTGTGATGAAATGATAATAGCATGTTTGTGCAATGCTATCAGTCATACGTTTTTCCACTACCTAAGAGAGAAACGGAATTGTAAGAATCTTTTATTCGATATTCTATTTGAAACGTTATAGAAGATTCATTAAAGAAATAAAGTGAAGGTAGTACATCCTTTGATCTCAGATGTCTCTCAAGGATAAAGTCGAATATTTTACCTTTGAGTAAGCATGTAACGCAATCTGAATGCCTTGTGCAGCTTGTGCTTCATTGGATACGGATGCATAATTAACTGTGTCCGTAGACTTCTTTGTGATTGAAGTTAATATTGTTTTTGGTCTAACAGAAACTGAAGAGGATGCAGCATTTGATACGTTGTGATCATCATTTTTCTTTTTGTCCTTTTCTTTCAATTTATTTACAGTGTCCATATAATAGTGATTGAGTGTAAATACACGTCGTTCCATATCGAGTATTTCTAGAACACATTCCAATAAAATTTCTTTCACTTCGTTAAACCGTTTGATGACAATTTCTTTTAAACGTTCTTTCAGACGAGAATAATCGTTATTGAAAGCCTGTTCGAATAATCGTAGCAAACACTGAGACATATATTCATGTATCTCATCGACCACATGGCGGCAGCAGTGAGACAATTTCTGTAGTTCTTTTCGAAAGAGCCCTACAATAATTTGATAGCTAGGAAAATTAGGTAGAGAAATACCTCCTGTTCGATCAATTTCGCGAAGTACGATTTTATGGTATTGATTTGAAAAAAATCCGTGAAAATTTTTCTAAATTCACGTTGAAATTTACGCTGTAAGCGGTAAATATGATAGGCGATATGATTTTCGTCGTTCTCATCGGTTATTAGATCTTCTTCTATCTCGGATATATCATCTTCAACATCCGAATCCATGCCATCGCTAGCAAGAATTTCGATAGCTCCGAATGTGGCAGGAACTTCATTACCTTCCATCGATGCTACCTGATCGTACTCGCCTTTTACATTATCATGAATGCTTTCGCGATAGGCGTTGATCATCGATTGAAAATTTGTCCAACATTCAATTTCGGTATTCATAGAAGCCGGAATCTTTTTCAGTCGAGCCTTTTTTTCGGCTATTTGTTTTCTTAATTCTTTGATAATATGCGGAAATGTAGAACGAATGCGTTCTTGTTGAATGGTAGCCAGATGTTGAACTAATTGCTCACTACCTTTCAATTCGTCTGGTACATTTTGAAATGCTTCTTGATGTTTAATAAAGAACTCCTCTCGCTTTTTCATCTCATCGAATGAAATATTCTGATCAATTTCATGTTGGTTTCTATTAAGAACAGCAACGCAGCCCAGTTGAAGTTCCATTGAACCTAAGCCACGACCTTGCAGTTTTTCTGCGATGCCCTTATCGTATTTGTCAATTTTGGAGACTGCAATCAGTTGTCGCTGACAGGATGGATCAAATACTTTCGAAGTTTCATCGATTCTGACGTGGTAAAATCGACTGAAGCTGGAATGACGTGTAAAACGATCTAAATATGTCAGATCAATAAACCACATAGATAAAACATGTGACCAATCATCAGTGCTCGCACGAAGGTCCCAATATTAGGGGGGTGTATGGCGAATTCGGGGGGTAGAGAAGTGTTTTCAGGAAAAACTTCTAAAAAAATCGTAAAATTTAGGTTGAAATCGGCCTTTGCGACTGGAGAAAACTGAAAATTTTTGATTATTAGGGGAGTGCACACCCCCCGCTCGCGCGGGGCCTGCCAATCATATGGTGAAAACTTTTGGCACGCTCTCGGACAATTTGACGGTAATTAAACTTTCTTGTTAACTTAATGTCACTGAAAACTACGATTTGAGAGCGTTAGAATTAGTGTCAAAACCGTTTTTCTTCGATTTCAGATTACCTCTTGAAGGAAATCAATGTTATAGACAAGAATAAGTCACTATATATCTCATCTTGAGGAATGCTCATCTTTTGAATCAGCAAGGATTTCTCTCAGACTGATTGGCTCAGAATAATAGTCCTGAGTAGGGGTGATGCATTAGAATTAACATTAGCATTTATTAATATTAATTCTAATGCTTTAAGCATTAGCATTTTTGTAATACTAATGCTAATTTACCACCCCTAATCCTGAGAGCAAAAGCCTAGAAACGTTGTTCAATGATTTTTTGGTTCATTGTCTACAATCATAATATGGATTCCTCTGTATTTTCTATCGTTCATCTTTTCATTCGTATGACTTTTTTTTCTTCTTTGTAATCGCTCATTTCAAACTGATCAGTTAAGATTAGGTAGGAACAAATGCATTCTCAGCATATTGGATCTTCTTGTTTCCGTTGAGGAAACTTTTATTTTGTGTTTTTCTTATGTTACACTTCAACAAAAAATAGTAGCGGTATCTTAATCAGAAAAAAATTCATATGCTTACTGCAGTGAGTGGTGTTCAATATATTTATTGATTAAGTTCAAAATTTGTTCATGAATATTTTCTGCTTGACTAGGCAATGCATTCCGTGTGATACCCGGAAGATCAATCAGGGTCAAATCATACATAATATCGCGCTTGTAAACTGTTAAGTAGATGGGATTTGAACTGACATTGACGCCTTTACCGGCGATTTCTGATGTTAATCGAGTGACTTCATCGGCAATCTTTGTCAAATCATCAATACGCGTCTCCGACGTCAAACCAACACTACCACGTATTGTTGCATATTCTTTATCTTGAACTGTTTTCATCCGTAATTCTAGTGGACAGCGGGTACAAATATTTTGCGCACGAGGCAATTGAATACCAGATATGGCTTTCAATACAGATGATTTACCCACAGATTGATCCCCAACGACCACAATTTCCGATAGAGTTACTTTTTCACCATGTAAGAATTCACACATCTTGTCAATAGCCAACAAGAGACCACGCGATTCATCACTGTTTAATTGCTCACCTAGCATGATGCTTGAAATCGAATGTTGTGACCAGTTAATATCGTTTCAATGTTCGCTACCTTTTTTTCACTCCTATTTAAATGTCAGTGACATTGGGAAAAAACCCAGACGCAAATTTCTTTTTATTCACATAAAATAATCAGCCGATAGTTAAGTAAACAGCGAGAAGTCATGAAAATAGTTCAAGAAGGTTCTATTGGATTGTTGTCTAAACTAGTACCGAACACTACCTCTTTTTTTTGTCATATAATAAATAAATATTATCGACTTCGTCCTTTTTTTGCCTGACGGTAACGCATGTTCTATGTGTACCATGACTCACCTGCAAAGATCAAGAAAAAGTTACCTGAGTGCTCACTTTCATTTCATTCTTTCTCAATAAGAAAGACAATCTATTTAATGTTCGTGCCATATATAAAGGCATAAAACTCCGGAGCAAATATTTTGAGAGCAGAACAAGATATAAAAGACGGGTTTTCGCCATTAGGAAGAGGACTCTAGAGACGTCAGCGTATAGGAAAATAAATAGGTAAATGAATGGCTAGTGTCGGTTTGTGCTCATTGGAAGAGTTGAGAGCCATGTATTGGAAATGTTTTCCGACAAATTTTTAGATTCAAAGGTAATCATTAGATACAGAAAGCAGAGTGCTTCCAATTTCCATAAGGCTGAGCTCGCTAGCTTGTTTCGTTCAAGAGCTATAGACATTTCCCTGAGAGTCTCGAGATCGACCTGATGATGGGTATGGGTGTCGGTGTGGGTCTGGGTGTAGATGGGGGAGTGGGTTTGGAAGTGGAAGCATTAGAGGAGACTCAGACTCACACCCACAACACACCATGATACTCCTGGATAGATCATGACCTTATGCATGAATATCGAAGTAAGGGAATAAGTACACAGATATGCATTTGATATTGTCAGCTATTGTTCCTGCAAGATCGAATCCACCCACACCCACACACACCCATCCACACCCACCCACACCCACCCACACCCACACCCACATCCACTCACACCCATCCACACCCGCCCACACCCGTTTGTTTTGGAAGTATAATTGTATTTGTACGGTTCACTCGTAATTACTATTTTGTATATTATCTTCTGAAATTCAATAGAAAATTATCAAACTATGTTTCACTCATCCTCAAGCTATCTTCTTCTTTTTTCTTATTTATTTTCCTATCCTTTCTTTTCTTTTCCTTTTTTCTTTTCACCAATTTGTGTTATGTAGAGCCCTGGTGATTGAAATTTTAATAAAGACCACGAAACGCGTCGACAAATACGTTTCTATATCAAACTACTTAGCACATACATGCATAATCTATTTCGTCCTATTGTCAACGTCGATTGCTGAAAAGCGAAAACTGAGAAGCGATGGATTAAACTTGTATTCTATGATACGTCTGGTCCGTTATTATGTTATTATGGTTTAAATTAAAGTTGAAATTCATATTTTTATTTAAAAAAGCAGAACAAATAATTACTGTTTTGTGTGGCATTGGACAGGAACGACGATAAGTTTTGCTGATACTCCCGATTTTGCCGAGACGAAATGAACTTAACCGATGGTTATTACGGAGAAACATTCTAGCCTTTCGTTCTTTACATTGGGTATGGGTGTGGGTGTAGGTGTGAGCAGGAGAAGGAGTGTGCGTGAACAAAGTGAGACCAACACCCACACCAATATGCACACTCACAACCATACCCATATCCACATTCACACCCCACACCCACCCATTTACACCCATATCCACACCCACACCCACACCCACACCCTGCATGTCGGAAAAGGTTCCTTTGCGGTGTTTTCGAATTTTTACTTTAAAAGTTTTTCGCTTTATTATTTTCTCTAAAGTTCCGAAATATCGATAGATATCGAATTTTATGGAGTATCTTGTAGCATATTTCAAATTTCAGCGGAATCGTTTTCTTGAAAACTTTTCAATCGTTATTGTGCTGGTTTGAATGTCGTAGTTGAACGACTGAATGGTAGTTAATCTTTCCAACTTGCCACTGACAAGAAAAACTCTTGGGAAAAACGAATTTGATATCTTTGTAGAGCGAAAAATTCTGTATCGAATGAGCTTACAATGGAATCTTTGAACTGCGTTTTCAGTCTTACAAAAAAAAAGAAAATAAAGGTGTTCCATTTTTTACGGGTCACTCGGTACGTTCGAACAACAAATACAAAATTTGACTGTTCTTGAGATTCAATCAATGAATCGAGGGAGTGCGAATGAGATTTTACCTTGTCTAGATGAAATCTTGGGGAGTTGATCGCGTGAAACCGTATGTTTCGACGTGATCTTGGTGAAGAACAAGGCTGGTGTTAGAAGATTCTTGTTTTACTACGTGTGGAGTTTTGTAGGTTCTATCATTATTTTCAAAGCCGACGCTTTTTTATTATATAACTTCGTTTGATCAAACAACTCAAATGATGTACCTAAAGTATATTCTATTCTTTTCTTCATGACTTATTACATTATTTAGTATTATCAAATATTAAAATCATCGTGTTCTTTATTATAAATTAATATTAAATATTATTGCTTTCTCTCCGTTCACATTTGTTTACACTGTCAGTTATCAGGTCCATTTCTCGAAGTGGTATAAAACGTGTCTTTTTAACAATTTTGTAAACAACAAACATGATCACAAACACCGGCAATATTACATAACCGGATAGTAAGGTAGATAAGTTGAATGAATGCTTAGTACATGTAGAATTTCCTTGTTCAAGAATATTATGGTTGAGTGTGTATGTATTAAATCCAGAAGATTCTTGGTCTAACATAGTACAATTGACAGTCGTTGTAGTAAATGCAGAATACCCTTGTCCGAAGACACATATAATGATAAGTAAAGAGGCCAAGAATGGTCCCACTGGAAAGAATAGTGCCTTATAAATAAGGTCATTCAATGAATAACCTTGTAGAATATATGCTCGACGAAATCGCCAATGTGATATAGCAATTCCAAACCAGGCAATAAAACCCATCACACTAGTCATATTGACAAGCCATATATATATGACTTGGTTTCCAACGAATGAGAGACCAAAAAGAGAGCTTGCGAGAACAGTTGTTAACACCAAACACCAAATAGGAATTCCACCTTTATTTAGATGACGAAAAATACGAGGTGCTTTACCTTCCATAGCCAATGTCCAGAAAATACGTGTACATAAGTAAAGACCAGAATTACCAGCTGACAATATCGTTGTAAGAATGACAGCATTCATAATATGCTCTGCTCCAGGGATACCAGATTTTTTAAATACCAATGTGAACGGTGATACAGCAATATTATCAACACCACCTATTTTAGCAAGATTTGGATCATTATACGGGATAACAAGACCCATAACGAAGACGGCACCAACAAAGAACAAAACAATACGCCATATAGTTCCGTTCATTGCACGAGGCACATCCCGCTTTGGATTAGCACTCTCACCAGCAGCGATACCTACAGCTTCAGTTCCCTATATAATCACAAAGGAACCTTTTATCAACATATTTCATCTTTCAAATTTATATTTATATATAATTAGGATATTCGTTGCAACTATTAGATTACTCGTGCAATCATAAACTATTCTACACAAATAAAGATGTCAATGAAAGCAGGGTAAATTCTTTCGGAAGGAGTACTACAGTTATAACCATTTAATACGAAAATTTTTAAACTCTCAGAACTACTACAGAACTTGATATCTTCAAAGCAAAAATCACATTTATAAAATTTGAAATGATGCCACAATGGTTTGCGATCATGGATCCTTAGAGCTTTCCATGCCAAAATTCGATTGCTTGGATTGCTCATTTTAAATGATGGAAGTTTGGACCTTTTAGAATAGATACTAGTCAATGATAGAAACATTTTATTAAGCGAAAACTTTTTCTCTGCCACTTACTTTACATTCAAAAGTTTGGTCTTTTGATAGCTCAATTTCTTCAACGTCCAATAATATTTAATTATCAATAATACACGTAGTTTGAAAAGCCTATAGTCAAAGCAGATCGTAGAGTATGGCATGTGTTTGTGAAGAGGAGGATTTTCATGATTTGAATGTAAAGTGAACTGAGGAGAAAAAAGTTTTCGTTTTGTAAAACATTTGTATCATTGACTAGTGTCCATTTTAAAAGCTTCAATCTTCCATCATTTAAAATGAGTAAGCCTAAGAAATCGAGTTTTGGCTTGGAAAGCTCTTAGAATCCGTGATCGAAAACCATTGTGGCATCATTGCAAAACTTTATGGATGTGATTTCTGTTTTGAAGATATCAAGTTATGCCGTAGTTCTGAGAGTTTAAAAAGTTGTCTATGAAGTCGATGTCAACTCTGGTACACTTCAGAATCGACTACTGAGCAGTTCAAGTCATTGAAAACAGACTGAATATGAAGGTGAAAGTGAGATAAGAAATAATTGTAAAATGGAAGAAATATAAAATTTGAAATAACATCTAAATCTAGTTATCGAATTGTATATTATTATGAAAAAGCATTCTCACTTGAAAAGCAAAACCAGAAATGATCGACGTGGTTATTATACCAGCTACTCCACCAACAAAGGGCGCTTTGTCCAATTTCCAATTTTCGAAGCCGTATGTTTTTCGAGGTTTACCTACGGCACCTGTATCCACTAAAATACCAATTAACAGGAAGACAAGCACAGTAACTACTTTGATCATTGCAAACCAATACTCAGCCTCGCCGTAACCTCTAACTGTGAAAGCATTCAATAAAAACATAATTGCCATTCCTAATATTGACCATATAATACTGGGAAAATGCGGCAGCCAAAATTGTACGATGATGCCAGCAGCCACTAACTCTCCTGCGATAGTTGTCACCCATGAAAAGTAATAATTGTAGGCTAATGCAAAGCCGAATGCTTCATCCACAAAACGACTACCAAATGTATTGAAAGAACCACTAATGGGAAATTGAGTCGCAAGTTCAGCTGTAACAAATGTTAATGCATTGATAATTTTTGTTAACAGTGAGATTTATATGAATAACCTATTCTCTTCTCATTCAAAAGTGATCAGAATAAATAAATATTACTATATAGTTCAAAACAAGTTATTATTCATTGAGATCAACTCTAATATAATTAAGAATAAATTAATTTCGAAAACACTGAAAAGATCGAATGGAACTTCCTTAAGAAGATATTCGCATATTGATCGTTTAGAACACGAAAAAAATGCTTTCGTCATAAAATAGATAAAAAAAAAGTATTTGAAGAAATATTCAAATATGTTCAACTACAAATCACTGAAAATTAGTAGAAGATATTTAAAATAAAAGCGCAACGCTCAAGTAACAAAAATATTTCTAACATGCGTCTCAGCTTGTTATTCTGTTCTTCTTTAGTATGTATTATTGTGATCTTGTGTCTGTTTTTTCCTTTAATGTGTTATATTCTATTTTCTTCTCTTCTCTTCTCTGTTTGATACGTGCTTTATATGGTGAGATATGTGAGACGATAAATATATTCGGTGCTTTTTTTTGTTTTGCAATAGTAAGAGAAAGAGAATACAAGTTAAATCACTAACACTACAGAATTAAAATATGATTTTGAGTCTTGTTTATGTCAAATAATATGTCTTTTGATCTAAATCAAGCTTCGAAATATTTCTCTGTTTAATGTACTTTCAGAACTTTGTGAAACTCACATATATTTTCGAAGAAAATAGTGAGTGTAAGATAAAGAGCAAGTTTTTACGGCTATTTCCCTCCCCTCTCCCACTCCTTCCCATTACAGACACGTAGCAACGCAGACCTCCATTACAGACATCTCCTCCCCGCATTACAGACCTTAGCAATCAAGAACAGCAGGCATCAGACTGTTTAGAGTTCATTTGCAAAATTAACTAAGTTTTAGTTTTGAAAAATAGTACATATCATTTTGTTTATGGACTGATTAATATATGTAATAGTGTGTAACATCTGCTGTAGATATCATGGACATGTAACATAGACTTATTTGTCGATTGCTTCAATGATTATTATAGTAAGAATGTTAAGTTAAGAAAAATGAATAAAAGTTATGAAAAATAATGAGCAAATAACAACAATGAAACAAAAAATCAGGCGCTCGTAGAAGAAATAAATGATTTCTGTTCGAAATACAGGAATTAGAGAGGTGCTTATTGTGATGTTCGATTATCCTGCTAAACTACTATATTCTACAAAAGATTTTTCAGTTTACTTATTTTATATTAGTTTAATGAAGCTAGAGAACATATGTGAGTTTCACATTTTAGCCTCAAAGAGGCTGCGCTAACAAGTTTTTTTAAAAATAAAATAGTTTTTCTTAAATAAATGCTGCTCAATGTATATGTTACGGTCAAAATTGGAACCCGATCAAATTTTGAATTTGTCCGAACAAAATCAGAGTTCTAGTTTCGTCCGAACGACATTAAAAATGGACTATAAGTAAGTTAATCAAGTTTAAAAAGTTAGAGTGTGAACAAATAAAGAGTTTCCTTTTTATTTCAGACAGTAATCATTTGTATCAAACAAGCCACAGCTCATATTATTTTAACCTATTCACTCATATTTTTACAAGATCGCGGTTTACAATTATATCAAATTTGAGGAAGTTTGTCGTTTGTTCTTTGATTGATTCGTGGAAGAAAACAATGTAAATAGGAAAGAAGCAAGAGAGGATGAGTCAAAAGTCACTCAATTTCATGATTCATGATGTCCCATAAACTTATCGCCTGTACAGACCAACCACTCTTCGGATTAGTTTCTTTTATATCCGTCGATTTTGTGCTAGGTGAAACAAGTCTTGTTCGCTGCGCCCACACTATTCTATGATGTCGTTCAGCCATTCTTTACATGGACGTTCTCTTCGGAGTTTTCCCTTCATTTTCGCGAACATTGTCTGTTTGATCAACCTATTATCGTTCATTCTACAGATATGGCCGAATAATCATTTTCCTTTTCTTTATTATGTCTACTATGGTTTCTTCTTTCGATATCTTTTTCCTTATATCTTCATTGCGTACCATGTCTTTCCAACTAATTCTTAGAATCGGTCGGTAGCATTTCATCTCGAATGCGAGTAGTTTCTTTTTGTCAGCCTCTTTTATGTTCCATGGTTATGAGGCGTATAAGAGCAAGCTGAAGACGCATGTTGCCAGAAGCTTAAGCTTGTTCTTCACTGTCAGTTTCTTGTCGTTTCATATGTGTTTCAGAGTAGTTATTGCTTCTGTTGCTTTACCTATCCTCCTTCTGATTTCTTCTGAGTAATTGTTGTTCCATATTTGTAGGCTTCCTAGGTATCGGATATTTTCAACGTTTTCTATTGTTTTTTCTGCTATCTATACTACTTGTTCTATGTTTCGATCTCCGAATACCATTGTCTTGATTTTCGTTGCGTTCACGATGAGTTCTGCTTTTTCAGCAGCTATTCTGGTCAACTCGACTTGGTTTTTAAAGGAGCTACAATCTTCGTCTATTAGGTCGATATCATCTGCAAATCTTAGGTTGTTTATGAGTGTTTCACTGATGTTGATTCTATAGGTGTTTTGTTTCACCTAGCCCATTACTCTTTCGAGGTATGTGATGAAGAGTAACAGTGACAGAGGATCTCTTCGTCTGGTTTCTACGTCTGTTTGGAACTACTCGAATCGGTCTTTGCCAATTCAGACTGCTGATTACGCCTTTTCGTATATCTATTGTAGTAGAGGGATCATCTTTGTTTCTATGCCATACAATTTTAGCACACCCCATATGATTTTGTGTTTGGTTGTATCGAATACTTTTTGGAAGTCTATGAAACAGCTGTATATTTTCTTTTCCTGTCTTTTGCCTTCTCTACTATTAGGCCTGAGTGTCACGATTTGGTGTGTAGCGCTTCTGTCTTTCCTAAATCCTGCCTGTTCTTCGAAGAGGTGGAGTCGAGTTGATTTTTGAGCCTGTTTAGCAGCACGGTTAGTAGAAATTTTCCTGTATGGTTGATGAGGAAGATCGTTTGGGAGTTCTCGCATTCACTGAGATCTCCTTTCTTGGGTATTGGTACTAGAATGGATTTACCCCATTTTTCTGGGTTCGTACCTTCGTGACATGCTGTGTTACAGAGATTGTGAATTTGATGTTCTAGTTGCTCCTCTCCGGCTTGAAGCATTTCCGCTGTGATTCCGTCTGAACCTGGACTTTTGTTCCTTTTTAGTGCGCGTATCGCTTCTTGTACTTCTGGGTATAGTATGCCTTGAGGATGCTCGGTGTTCGTAGGTGTGATTACCTCAAGTTCTTTTATCATCCTACCCCCTCCTCCGTGGTTCTTGTATAGATTGCCGCAGTACTCCGTCCGTCTTTATTTTATTTCTTCTTCCAACTGTAGCATTGTGTCGTCTTCATCTCATATCACGTTTTTCCGAGGTGCGAACTTTCTAGTAGCATTATTATTAGGTTGTATGCTTGCCTGATATTTCTAATTTTTAGGGCCTTTTCGACTTCTTCACATTGTTGCCGTATCCACTGTTCCTTGTCATGTCGTGCTGTTTTCTTAACTTTCTTGCAGATGCCTTTGTATCGCTGTGTTTTCTGTAGACATGTCTTTTATCTGTTTCGGCTTTCGTTTTTCGTCTGCTAGCTTTAGTATTTCTTCGCATATCCCGGCTTTCGTGGTTATTTTTCTAGAAAATATAGTTGCTTCTATTGCTTCTTTGATTACGTCTTCTGTTTTCGTTGCGTGCTCATCTAGGTTACTTGCTGGAAGGATGTTTCCTATCTTTTTTTGCTAATTTATCACTGTAGGATTGTCTTACTTTTTCGTTGCTTAGAAGGCATTGCACGTAAGCCATGACCAACGTTGCTCAATCGATGTCACTGATTTCGCTGATATTTTTACAGTAGGAAAAACCTAACAGACTTAAGAAGAAACTGAAAATTTCTGGCTCAAACGAATGAGCTATTTTGGAGATATAGACGATATAAGTATGAGGGGGTAGATCCCATTTGGAGTACCTTATAGTGCAATATTTCCCAGTAAAGTTTCATTTTCTCAAGAACGACAAGAGTTATAACAGAGATTTTTTTATCACAGATACTATCGAGTGTGGGCTATCTTTTGATGATATTAAAACTATCTTATCATTAGATAACATTTGCTGGATACTATATACAATGTTTGGAAATAGTGTCTCCGGAGATAAGACAAGTTGGGAGAATCAGCTCAATAAAATAAATTAAGAGTAGTCTCATTTGAGAGAGCACATCAAAATGCATCGACTGACGTTTTCAAAAGTTTGTGGTATTGAACTTGGGTAGCAAAAATTTCTTCAACAAGACTGAAAAGACCAAATTGGGAGCCCGATTCTCACTATGCAGATCGATGATTTATTTCCAAATGTTTGATTTAAGTGTTTCAGATGAAAGCCCACGTCGAGTGTGTGGGTGTGGGTGTGGCTAGGGTCTCGGTTGGGGTGTGGATGTAGGTGTGGGCCTTTATGAACTCAAACACCCACACCCACACTCACACTCACACTCACCATTTATGGTAAAAAAGTCTTGGTTATACGTCTTGGTGTTCTCGAGAAAATGGTCATTTACTGGAAAGTATTGCGCTATAAAGTACTCTAAATGAGATCCATCGCCACATACTTGTATCGCATATATCTCGAAAATGGCTCATCCATTTGAGCTGAAATTTTTGAGCTTCTTCCTAACTTTGCTAGGTCTACCTCCTGTAAAAATATCAGTCAAATTGAGAAGATCAATTGAGCAACGATCTGCTGGGATT